AGGGGCTGCCCAGGAGGTGGGGGAGTCCCCAGCCCTGGAGGTGCCCAGGGAAGGCCTGGCTGTGGCACTGAGTGCTCTGGGCTGGGGCCAAGGTGGGGATGGGGCACAGGGGGGACTCTCAGAGATCTTTTCCAACCTCACCAACTCCATGGTTTTTCTACAGTGGCTTCCAGGTTAGGCTGGAAAAACCAAGCTGTGGCTCCCCCTGCCCAGGAGCTGGGAGGTCCCTGGCACAGGGGAGGGGGCCCGGAGGGGCTGCCCAGTGCTCACCAGTTGCGATGTGGGAACCCATACATGGCCGGCAGGCTGGGCAGCGCCTGGTAGGTCGTCCGGCCCCGGGCAAAGGTCTGCAGGAACAGCTGCTTGTAGGGCCCAAAGTTGGTCACTCCCACCTGGTCATGGAGCAGCTGGAAGGGACACAATGGATGTGCTGAGGGAAAGCTGGCACAGGCACCAGCGGGGCTTCCCCACGGCTCGTGTCACACCCGCACGGAACGAGGCACAAAACGATGCCCAAAAGGGCACAAAACGAAGCTTCAGGTGGATCAGGGGCAAAAACTCGAGGGGAAAGGGAACAGTTTATCCCTAGAAAGCCCACGGGGACACTTACCCTCATTGCTGTCTCAAAGGAGCCTGCCAGGATGTGGTCAACAGGCAGCTGGGAATTGTTGCACCACACCTGCAAGAAGGGAAGGGAAACACATGGAAGAGCAATTCCATGCCCTGCCCTCACCACCCCTCAAACACTGGGCCCTGCCCTCACCACCCCTCAAACACTGGGCCCTGCCCTCACCACCCCTCAGAGTCCCTATAACAAAATCCCCACGTTGTGCTCACAAGGATTGAACCCCCCCGAGAAAAAATCACCAACACAGAGAATTTCTGGGAAAGGCAATCCAAGAGCTGCTTTGGCACTACCTGAGCTGGGCTGGTGCCCTTGGTGGGAGGCACAAAGAATCCATCCTCTGCTGCTCCTGCTGGACCAGCGGGAACGTCCTGGGGGAATGCACAGAGCAGGGATTAGTGGGGACCTTCCCAGCACCCAGATGGAATCAGAGCTGTGGGGACCAAGCCTGAAGGAGCCCAGAAGACACTTCCCCCACCTCCCTCACCAGCTGCCAGTGCCTTCCCAAGGAACCACCAAGGAGCCTCCTACCAGTTCAGGGGGAAGATCCAAATCTTCTTCCACTTCCCATCCACCTCCTTCTTCCTGCCCTTTCCCCAGACCTTCCTCTCCAAAGCCCTCTCCAGCATCCACAAAACCATCTGGAAGGAGGGGGACAGGTCAGAGCCCCGACACAGGCACAGAGGCTTTTCCAAGGAAAGCTCTTGGATGCACCCACCTTCATCCAGCTGCAGCTCTGCATCTTCTCCCCAGCCCTCGGTGCCCACGGCGTCGATGTCGATGTCGGCAGCCAAAGCACCTCCTTTGCCTAAAAAAAGGGGCAGGAGCCTCCATCAGCTCATCCCTCAGGTGTTAAATAAAGAATTCCATGAGGGCAGCACCCCCCCTTTAATGGCCCAGTCCCAGCTTGGGCTGAAAGGTCAAAGATTTCACACAATCCCAGAATCACCTGGGTGGGAAAAGACCTCCAAGATCCTCCGGTCCCCCCTGTCAGGGAGGAGCTGAAGGTCCCCCCTGAGCTTTCCAAGTTTTCCAAGGACAAAGCCATACCTTTGCTAGCAATTGTCCCCTCGAAGAAGCCCTTGGAGACAGTCAGCAGTGGCCAGTTGGTGTCCAAAGGCATGACAGGAGCAGGAGGCTGCAGCAGCTTCGCGTTGGGATCGATGTCCGGGATCTGAGAGGGAAACAGGTAAAGCCACCTCAGGAAAATCCCCTCCTGTGACCTCATGTGGAGATGGTTCCCCCCTCCCAGCCTGTCCCTCTGCCCCAGACCCCACTGTCACCCTCCTGCCCAGCTCCAGAGCTCTCGAGGAGCATTGATCAGCCCACGAACCGTCTCCTTCTCAGGATCAAAGGTTTCCTTCAGGCTTTCAGCTTCCTCATCCAGACCGTGAGTGGCAGCTGTGAGATAGGCCAGGGACTCTGGAATTAGACACAGGGAATCCTTTAGGTTGGAAAAGGCCTCTAAGATCATCCAGTCCAACCTCTGAGTCCTTTGATCACCACCCTGGAAACAACGTGAGCAACGTGTTCTCTGTCACCCAGAGACGTCCCACAGCAGCACACACGGACACACGGGGGGATCAGCAGGACATCCAGGGGTGGATCACACCCCTAAGGTGTCCCTGGATTTAGGAGTGATCACTGGAATAAGGTCTGCAGCTGATTCAGGTCTCAGAGATGCTGCTCCAGCTTTACTGCTCACCCGATTCAGCTCCTCAGGGTGAGGGATCGTTCTGAGCCACCTCCAGAATTTATTGTTCATCCCAAAAGCTTCTCCCCAGCTCACAGGGACAGATTTGAGTCCGGAATTACTCACTTTGCCCACAGTTCTTCAGGATCCTCACTCTCTCTGCCACGTCCCCCAGGTACAAGGCGTTCTGGTAGTGCCCACTCATGTCCTTACGGATCTCGGCTACACCAAGAGCAAAAAGCCACAGTAACTTTGCTGCTCTTGGCCCTGCACCATGAATCCCTCTGGGAGTGCTCCTGGCACCTCCTTTGCCACCACCCTGGCACTCACCAATCTTCATCATCTTCCTCAGCTTCTCCAGGTTGCCTGTGATGAGGTAGAGGAAGGAGAGCCTGTCGAAGTTCTTGGTGCGCTGGTAGCACATCTCCACGATCTGGTGGTTCCCCTGCAGCAAGGCCACCTCTCCCAGCTTCTCCCAGCAGTTCTTGTCATCCAGAGCTTTGGCTGCTTCCAGAGCAATCTAAGAGGAGAGCTGACACGGTCACCAAGGCCTGGCAGGCCGGAGTTTTCCCTGCAGGCTTCTGTTGATCACAAGGATCACCGCCTGAATCACAGCCCGGCACCTCAACCCTCAACTTCTTCTTCCTGCACCTCATCCCCAGCCCTACCACCCCCAGCTCCTTCTCCCCCACGCTCCTCCTGCCCCCTGCACGCAGAGAGGTTTGGCAGTGAGGTTGTGCCTCTCCCTCAGCACCACCAACAGCCCGCTCACCTCGATGTTGCCACACTCCAGGGCCAGGCTGAAACGGGTCTTCTCGTCCTTGACAAAGTGCAGGGCCACCTCTGGGTAGCCCTTCTTCTGCAGGTAGGCAATGATGGACTGGCCCACCAGCTTGGCATTCCTCACCATGTGCAGCACCTGCCCGGGAACGGCCCCGTGAGCACCTTCCCTTTGTCCTCGGGTTTGGGGGAGTGACAGGACAGGGGGGATGGATATTGGGAAGAAAGGTCGTCCCAATATCCAACCCAGGGACACTTCCACCAGCCCAGGTTGCTCCAACCTGGCCTTGGACACTTCCAGGGATCCAGGGGCAGCCACAGCTTCCCTGGGCAACCTGTGCCAGGGCCTCCCCACCCTCCCAGGGAAGGATTTACTGGAAAGATTTGCCCTGTGGTCTGTTCCCAGCAGGAGTTCTGGGAAGAACATCCCTCTGTCCTTCCCTCACACCATTCCCTTTGCTGCCTTTTGCCTGAGAGTCCATCCCGTGCTGATCTTGGTTTTGGGGTGACCCTTCTCCACTCACAGATGCTCCATCCCCAGAAACTCCTCATATCAACACCTTTAAAATTCCCATTCCTTTCCCCCCCTCCCTCCACCTTTATATTTTACACCTTGGTTTGCGAGTTCCAGCTTCCAAGCAGGACATTTCATCGATGCTTCCATCAGGAATCGGAGTGACAGACAAAGGGGGAATGACAGAGGGGAAATTTAGGTTGGATATTGGGAAGAAATTGTCCCCTGGGAGGGTGGGGAGGCCCTGGCACAGGTTGCCCAGAGAAGCTTTGGCTGCTCCATCCCTGGGAGTGTCCAAGGCCAGGCTGGAGCAGCCTGGATTAGTGGGAGGTGTCCCTGCCCGTGGCAGGGGTGGAATGGGACGACCTTTCCGATCCCTTCCAACCCAACCATCCCGTGATCCCGTGACCCTGCGCCCCCTCACCTCATCGTACTTCCTGTTGATCAGAGCCAGCTTGAACTTGAACTCGGTGGGGTCGATGGTGAGGACGCGGGGCCGGCACTCCCTGTCCAGGCAGTACACGTTGTTCCCCTTCACCCGCGTCACGTAGATGGGCAGGTCCAGGGTGCGGATGATCCCGTGGTCCCTGGGCCAACACAGCACCCCCGTCACCCCCTCTGCAGGACCCCGTTCTCCACCTCCGAGGAGACCCAGCACTGTGTGTTGTTCCAGCCCGTGCTGGGGGACGGCACAGGGCCCGTGGCCCCAGACTCACCCCGTGGTCACGGCGTATTTGATGTGGTTGCTCGTGGTGTAGATGAAGACCCCGCTCTCGTCCCAGGCCCCGCTCTTGACACGGATGTTCTCGTGGATGTTACAGAGAGACTCCAGCTTCCTGTTGCAGATCATGATGGCTGGAGAGGGAAGGAAAAGGAAAGTCAGGCCAAGGGAACCCTCTGCTGTTAAACAGCTGAATTGTAGGGTCGTGGAACGGTTTGGGCTGGAAGGACCTCGAAGATCGTCCAGTTTTGTGAAGAGATAAAATGGCAGGGCCTGCACTGCCAGTGCCTTCAGCTGCACCTTCACAGCTTCTCCTGGGCTGATGCCAACCAAGGAAGGGGTCAGAGTGCCAAAGGATGCGGGTGAAACACGGATCACTCACCGTGCTTGGCCAGCAGGGCCACGTGGGACATGTCGGCCGACCAGATCACGTACTTCACCTTGGAGATCTTCACCGAGGCCAGAGTCCTGGGGGGGACAGCACTGCCATCAGGAGGTGAACACCCCCACCCCAGCAAGCTCCAGGACCAAGAACCCCCAGTGCCCAAGAGCCTGGACACAACTTCAGATGCTCCAAAGCTGCTTTTTCCCATCCCGGAGCTACAAAATCCCGAGGCAGAACTGGGGGTTTCTGCAGCAAAACAAACCTTTCTCCGTATCTGAGCAACAACAAATATGTTGGAGGGACAACTGACTTCCAACCCCAGGTTTCTGAGAGGCTTTAGGGACAGGAGGGGAATTAGGGATTTCCAAGCAGCCTTTGCATCGTTGGATTCCCTCATCGCTTTCCCAGCAATGGAAAGGCGAGGCATAAAAACAGGGAAAGGAGGCAAATTCTGGGATACAATCAATCCATAATTTATCTGCAGATAACCCAGAACCTTCTGAAGCCTCCAAAGACGGCCAAAAGCACCAACTCTCTGCCTGTTCTTTGTGGCCAGGGCCCAAACGAGCGCCGAGACACAAAACCTGAGGACACGAATCCAAACGAGCTGAGCTTGATTGAGTTTGGGCTTTTTGCTGCCTCTCCCCTTTCCCAACACCCCATTCTGCAGTCCCAGGCTTTCCAAACATCTCCCTGTGATCCGTGGCACGACGCCTGTGGCATAAATTACTCCTTGGCTGTGTTTGCTCTGCTCTTCCTAAACAGTTGTTGGCCGTGGTTTGGATCAGCCCGACGCAGCTGAGGCTGAATTCTGAGGGCATTAATAGCCACCACTTTGTCCCCTGAGGGCTTCAAAACTGCAGGATTAGGATATTAAAGCTTCCAACTGCAGGATGAGGGTCTGGAAGGTTCCCCCAGCAGGCAGGGTCTCACCGTTTCTGCTGCACGTCGAAGAGGGTGATGGAGTCGGTGTCGCGCAGCAGAAGGTTCCCGGTGCCAGCGTAGAAAATCTCATCACAGTTGGGCACCTGCACCTTCTTTGTGATCTCGTTCTTCAGGTTTTTGATGAGGATCTGCCAGGGCATGAGAGGGAAATTTTAACAACCCGGGAGATTTCACAGTGGAATTCGGGATTTCTGGGGAGAGCACGGGATGTTTCTTCCCCTTCCTATAAATTCTACCAGGGTCGTGTTCCCATGACTGTCTTTCCCCCTCCTTTCTCCTGCTGCACTCCAGTGCAAATAAAGAGCTTTATTAAAAATCTAACCTGCATTTTTCACAGAATCCCTGAGGTTGCAAAAGCCCTCCCAGCCCATGGAGTCCCCCCTGTGCCCCATCCCCACCTTGGCCCCAGCCCAGAGCACTCAGTGCCACGGCCTGTCCTTCCTTGGGCACCTCCAGGGCTGGGGACTCCCCCACCTCCCTGGGCAGCCCCTGCCAAGGCCTGAACACCCTTTCCAGGAGGAAATTCCTCCTCATGGCCAACCTGACCCTCCCCTGGCACAGCTTGAGGCCATTCCCTCTCCTCCTGTCCCTTGTTCCCTGGGAGCAGGGCCCGATTCTCCCCTGGCTCCCCCCTCCTGTCAGGGAATTCCAGAGCCAGAAGGTCCCCCCTGAGCCTCCTTTCCTCCAGGCTGAGCCCCCCCAGCTCCCTCAGGACTTCTCCAGACCCTTCCCCAGCTCCCTTCTCTTCTCTGGACACTCTCCAGCCCCTCCGTGTCTCTCTTCTCATGAGGGGCCCAGACCTGGACACAGCACTCAAGGTGTCCCTCCCCAGTGCAATTTTTGCTGTTCTCCCATTCCCTTCCAGCTGCTGGAGCGCCCTGGGTGGCTTCCCAGCCCTGCTTTGGTTGGGTTTCACTCCTGAACTCACCTGCTGCAGCGGCCTCTGAGCTCAGCTTTACTGCCCAGGAGTTCAACAGCATTCCCACTCATCCCATTTCTCCACTGACCAGAGATCTCCACTAACCCTGGTAACCCAACACCTCCCAGTTTTCCACCAGCAGCGTTCCCAAGCACCACCCTCCTGGTCAGGAGCTGAGCCCTCACCGAGTGCATCCGGTCGAGGACGGCGAAGCGGTTCCGAGCCACCCAGACAGCCGTGAGCCCCGAGGAGCGCTTCCCTTCGGGAGCTGGGGATGGCAAACAGGCAGGGAATAAACCTCTGGCAGGGAGTGAGACCTCTGGCAGGGAGTGAGACCTCTGGCAGGCTCTCCCTCCCAGCAGCACATCAGCCCACGGGCTCTTCCCGGCCCATCCCGGCCGCTGGAGCCGCTTCCGACCAACTCCTGTTCCACCCCGAGGCTGTTCCCAGGAGTTGTTCCCTGCCCCGTGTCCTCCTGGATCGTGGTGTGGGCAGTGCCAGCCTCGTGCCCGGCCAAGGAACAGGGGCTGGCAGGGGAGGGGGCCGTGCTGGGGGACAGCAGGTCGGTCACACCAACGAGCTGCCCCTCGTTGGCCAAAGGAGCGGCGAGAGCAGAGTTCGTGTGACCCCCCCTGGCACTGCCCCTCCTGTGCCACCTTCATCCCAGGTCGCTCCAACCTGGCCTTGGACACTCCCAGGGATGGGGCAGCCACAGCTTCTCTGGGCAACCTGTGCCCCACCCTCACAAGGAGGAATTTCTTCCATGTAACCAACCCAAATCCCCTCTCTGTCGCTCTGAACCCACCCCCTTGTCCTGCCACTCCAGGCCCTTGTCCAAAGTCTCTCCCCACATTCCTTGGAGCCCCTTCAGGTCCTGCAAGGCCACAGTCAGGTCACCCCAAAGCTGAACAACCCCAGTTTTCCCAGCCTTTCCTCCCGGCAGAGCTGCTCCATCCCTCTGCTCAGCCCCTCTGGAGTGGCTCCAGCAGCTCCAGGTGTTCCCGGGGCTGTTCCCCAGCTCTGCTGGGGGGTCTCAGCTGAGGGGGCAGAGGGGGGGACCAGCCCAGGGCACAGGGGCTTTGGGGGATTTACCCCTGACTGTAGATATTCATCAACCACTCAAATTTCGGGAAAATGCTCTTAAATTTCGCATTTTCACGAGGCTGAGACATTTTCTCCTCTGCAAGGTGAATATCCCAGCTCCTCGTTTCGAGTGACACCAGCTGGGTGTCCCCAGACAAGTCAGGCTTTGAACACCTCCAACGAAATATCTGAAATACATTCAGCAGCATTTCAGCTGTAAAAACTTCCCAAAATGCCCCTTTTCTCCTTCCCTTTCCGAATCCACCTCTGACTGTGCCCAGCAGAGGAATATTCCCTTCAGCAGCCCCTCAGGAGCCAATAAATCTCTGCCCAAGTGAGCTGCTTTCCAGCCCCACTCATCCATCACTCCCCCTCATTCCCAAATCTTTACTGCCCTGACGACAGAGGCAGGAGGGACCAGCTGGAGTCTCAGCTCCCAAATGGAATTCACACCAGTTATGAGAAAGAATGATTTGGGTTTGGTTTTTTTTTTCCCTAAATCATGTTCTGACTTGTAAATTGCCCAAAACTGATGCGGAATTTGCCGAGAGGAAAAATGACTCCTGGCACTGTCACTTTTACAGCCACTTTTCAGAGGATAAAACCTCTCAGAACCAACCAAATCTGGTGGAAATCCATCTCTGGTTGACAAGCCAGGAAACCTCCTGCTGCGTGGAAAGGGGGGAAAACGGAAAGTTCCTAATCACCGAATTATAAAATATAGATTTGGAGCAGTAAAAGTTCGGGATGAACATGAATTTTTCAAGTCAGGCTGGGGGTGATGGAGTGGGCAGGGAGCTGCCAAACGACATGTGCTGCAGGGACACTGGGAAAAACAGAGAGGAGGAGGGAAATGAGGGGGTTTTTCTGTGTAAGACACACACACAGAGCTGGAGAGAGCAGGAGGGGACAGGGATAACCCCCCAAGGAACACCCACCATCCGGATTTTGGGAGTCAGCATCCTTGGGAATGGTGTAGAGGTCGTAAGTGCTGTTCTCCAAGTTGCTGGCTCTCTGCAGAGAGGGGGGGGAAAAGCTCATTTTGGGGGAGGATTTCAGGGAACGAGCATTCCCGAGGCGGGTTTGGGCAGCAGGAGGGACTCACAGTGCACAGCAGGACGGCGTTCTCGGCCGGGTTGTAGGACATGTTGAACACAGGGAACTTGGAACCACTGAGGGAGAGCCAGGAGGAAAAAAAAAAAGGGAAACTCTGAGTGGAACAAAGACATCTTGTGATAAATGGCCTTTGTCTTCCGAATGGAGCAAAGACCAGAAGAGCTCATCAAAATAATTGCCTCAAACTCCTCTGGAAACCCCCCAAGAACATCAGCATTTCATGAACTAAAGAGCTGCCTCTTCCCTTGGAAACTCATAACTAGTTAACTGAAAAGATTTGATCTAAGCAGAGGTAAAAACCGACCTAAACCCACTTTTTTTTTCAGGCTAAGTCCTTCAGAGGTACCTGAACACAACACCACGACCTGAGGGGCAACAAACACGGGACTGAGGATACTGGGACACCTCCTGGAAGAGGCTGAGCCACCTCTCACCTTCTGAGCTGCATGACAGCCACGTCCTTGGAGCTGTTGAAGTCCAGCTGGCGGAGGAAGCGGTCCTTGACGTAGTAGAGCATGTTCCCGTGCACGGCGTAGGCGGGGCGCTCCCGCTCCAGCTTGAACACGATCATGCCCCCGTCGTGGCCTGGGAGAAACACGTGGGAATTCGTGGGAAGGAAAGAAAAATCCCACCTGGACTTCCTCTGCCCTGAGGAGGAGAGGTTTTTCACCTGCAGCAAAGAGGTTGAGGTTGGGATGAGCAGCCAACACCCAGAAGCGATCGTGGTCGCGCCGGAAGGTCTGGACGCCCGTCCTGCACGGAAGGAAGAAAGGGATTGAGGATAAAAGGATAAAACTTTCCTTCCTGGGGATCAAAAAAGCTTCCACTGCCGGTGGCCGAGGGGCACTGACCGCTTGGACATGTCCCAGACCCGGATGCTCTTGTCCTCGGAGTTGCTGAGGATCAGCTCCTGCCGCGGGTGGAACACGGCGCACGACACGTTGTTGTAGTGGCCCCGGCACGTGTCCACCTCCCAGGCCTTGGACTCTGACCAGAGGGGGGGAAAGGAGGAGGAAAATCACTCCCAGACCTTCCTGAGCTGTCTCCAGCCACCAGCACAGCTCAGCCCAGACACTGATAACCCACAGGAGCGCTGAGGGTTGTGTCATCTGGGGGGACTGAGCTGACGAGAGCACAAACGTTCCCTGTGGAGGCTCCTGGCTCTGGAATCATCTCCCTTCCTTACTCCATCACTGCATGTTCAGAACACTTCAGAGAGTCAAGTTGTTTTACTCCTACAAGCTTCTGCTCAGAATCCCAGAATCCCTGAGCTTGGAAAAGCCCCCCCAGCCCCTGGAGTCCCCCCTGTGCCCCATCCCCAC